GACTCCCAATTCTTGATCTCTTTTTTTCCCCTTTTCCTCCGCCCCCACCCTAAGCTCACTTTCAATCTCTTCTCCTAAATCCCTCTCTAGAGGTGTCTCCAGGTACTTAACTGCAAAAACCCTGTTCTCCTATCCCAACTTTGAGAGAGGAGAGCCATGATTTTGGTCTTGCGACGCTACAACAGGAACAGGGTGTAGGGTTGTCTATCGATGCCTCACCCAACACGCCATTGGAGAGCTCCCTTGAAATCGCTTCACCTACACTAGCCTCTGAGCAAGGCCCTTTTGCTCGAACAATATCAACAACCTCCAAATGGCCAACAGGCGAACCACTCTTCCTCTAAAATCAAACTACCCATGGCTTCCTCTTGACTCTTCTCTTAAAACTCCCCTTTCGAATTCCCAATAGGAATTTATTGACGCGGGGCCCACATATCTTAAGTTCATTTCGAAAATTGACTCCTGAAACATTACCTTTAAGCGTAGATCCCTTTGTTTGTCGCTCAAAGAACCCCCTATTTGCTAATGTTGTTCATTCATTGATTCTAATAAAATATCTCCTTAAAAGGCAATTAAAGTAATAAAATCATTATTTTTTGTGAAAAATAAGAATTTAAGACCCTACCATGGACTTGTTCAAGCTTGCCTCAAGGAGCATGGTACAAAGGTGACTCATAGAATCAAGAATGCAATATGTTTTACATCACATTAGCTACTTGAAGTAATGCAATTGAGGAAAAAAAGAGATTTTGGATTTTACATGCTTGGAAATGCTTTATATTAGGGCAATTCATGGGTTGGTTTGGTTCAGTTGCATGTGATTTGTCCAACCAAACCGACATGCTCAGGTTGAAATATTCACCACCCGAAGTCGACCAAGAACACCTAAAAACCGACCCAAAATGGGTTTCTCAATTTGATCGGTTTCTCGGTTTGATCGGTTGGTCATACTCGTCCACAAAGCGTTGAAGTTAGGGAAGGTGTTGATTGTAACTCTTGCAAGTTTCCAACTTTACATTGGGTGACAAAGATTTTCTTTTCATAGAAGAGAAAAACTGCACAAGCAAGAAAACGAACAAAAATTATTTATTTTGAATCTATATTTACAAAATATTAAACTAAGCATCGTATTGTTGTATATGCTCAAAGATCAAAAAGTTGCAATCCAAGATAAAATTTTCAAAGAACAAAAAAATATTAAATCAATGATATGAATGCTTGTAAAGATAACAAGCTATAAATCCTTGAATGAATGATTTGAAAAAAAAAACAAATAAAAAAATCAAAGCAAAAAGGGGGGACTTTGGATATCTACCATCTAGGGTTTGTGTTGTGGGAGAAGGTTAGAATGAAACCTCACTTGCGCATCCAAGGAAAACTAGATGCCATTATCAACATGGAGGTTAGAATGAAACATCTCAAAGCAACGAAGGCAAACCATAGTTGTCAAGGCAACGCCTAGGCGACAAGGCGCCCTTGGAGGCTCACCTCACCTAATCGCCAAGTAGTTTTCTATAGCATGTTATAAAAAACTTTTATATTCTTAATATTTTGAGGTTATAATTATAAAATAGACATTTTTAAACTAAAATAATCATTTTGTGTGTTTATATACTAATTTCTTTTTTATTATTTTCTTATTTGTTAGGATTTAATCAACACAAACATTGCTAAATGCTGTATTGAACCCTCAAAGACTTCAAAACCTAAACCAACAAGTAAGGAAGAACATAAAATGTTGTCCAATCAACATTTTCTTCTTTTTCTTTACTAATTTTGTGTGTTTATATACTAATTTCTTCTTCTTCTTCTTCTTCTTCCACCTTTTCTTTTCTTCTTTTCCTATAACAGAAATAGGGGTTCACCCCTATAATTTTTTTTTAATTTTCTTTTCTTTCTTCTTTTTCTTCTCATGAATATGTTGGAATGTGTTGATTTTCTATACTTTAACATGAATTTTATACTTTTATTATGAAAAGTATGGATATTTATTAAGGAAATATGATTATGGAACCTAGGGAACTACCCTAGGATACATGTTTTTACTTAAAAAAATCCATCACCTAGGCAATGCCTAGGCGACTAGGTGACAAGGCGCCCCCCGTCGCCTAGCCTCACCTTGGCGCCTTGAAAACTATGAGGCAAACCAAACACCACGGAGGTTGTTGTGCACCATTAAAAGAACACCAAGCTTTTCAAAACCGCATAGTGCAAAATATGAAAATACAGAATAGGGAAAGAGGAAGGATAAGAGAGGCGGAAACCCAAAAACTACTCCTTGGGAAATGAAAAAGATGGGCAAGCAATCAAAAGGCTATTTTTGGGGAAAAGGGGAAGGATAGGTAGAAAAGGCAAAACATTTTTGGGAAAAAGGGGAAGGACGACAACTGTCCAATTTATTACAATACTTAGATCTTAGAAGATTGTAACCATCGGTTCGGGTCAGTTCATTTTCGGTTTACAAGCTTATAAACCAAAACCGACTTGAATACTTGGGTTCTATATTTCTAAGGCCCAAAACCGACCGATAACTTTGGAAAACCGACCAGATTGGGTCAAGTCAGGCCGGTGTGGTCGGTTTGGTCAGTTTTTAATATTCTGTGAAGAGCCCTACTTTATATGTTTGCTTTTATTTTTAAATTTTCATTTGAATACGCTTTACATGTTATGTTTATATATTTTATTTTTAGATAATAGGTTTTTAAAACATTTATTTTAAAATTTATGTTTGTCTTTTTTATTAACATTATGTTCGATATTTTTTGAATTTTTTGCATTTTTTAAAATTTTTTGGCTTTTTTTTAATTTTCTGACATTTTTTATTTTTTAGCATTTTTTTGTAATTTTGTGCCTTGCTCTCAGGCGCAAATTGGCCCTTGTGCTTTTTTGTGCCTTGYGTTTTTAAAACACTGGTTCAGACATTCTGAAACTGCTTGAAACTCAATCCAGCACTTCATCTGCCTATTCCTTGCTGCATCTAGTTTCCTCACCTAGAGTTCTTTCGAGCTCCACTCTAATCTAACCCAGCTCTGAATCTCTAACTTGCCAGGTTTGGATTTAACTAAACGTTCCACCAAACATTTCTCTAGCCATTTCACCCTTTCCAGAGCTCCTTCGCTCAAATCCACAATGACCTCTCTAACCATCGCTGACCCAGCTCCTTCTCTCCATTATTTCTTTCCTTCCAAATGACCCAGCACACGGTGAAAGGAATGCAACTCCAAACTAATCTTGCCTTTCTACCACCATTTATTTTTGGCCAACAGGAGAACAGTTCAGCTGGAGACCTTGTCTTAAAAGTAGTCACACCAAAAAGGGCCAAGTAGAAATTCCATATGAAGTTTGCGACCTTGCAAGAAAAGAACAAGAGGTGAACTGATTCCTCTACAGACTCACATAAATAGCAGTAACTTGCCAAGCTGAAACCTCTGATTTCAAATGGTCCAAGGTGAGGATGCCGTCCAAGGCTACCAACCAAGCAAAAGCCTCTACTCTAGGTGGCACCGGATTCCCCCAAATTGACTTAGCCTGATCATCTTCCAGCTGCTCTTTAACTAGAGTCATGTAGAAAGATTTTACTGTGAACTTGCCATTTGTAGCTTCTTTCCACCACATACCATCTGATGAGGAAGCTAACACCTCTGTCTGCTGCAGCTTTTCCAGAAGTTGAATGCACTCCTCTACTTTTGCTCTAGTAAAGGTCTTCTAAACTTGGGGCACCACACAACCTGATCTCCCCTTACCTTAAAGCAATGACTGACCAAGATTTGATGTTCTGTCAGTGTATACAATCTAGGACCCAACTCACATAATCTCCCTGCCCCACACCAGCCATCCTCACAAAATCTTACCCTTGAACCATCTCCCACCTTAAAACTCACTGAATTTCTAAATGTCTGGCTAAAACTCATAATTCCTTTCCAAACACTTACTCCATAAGTAACCGATACCTCCCTGGTCTCCCACCCAAACCTCACCACCCCATATTTTCCAGCGACCACCCTTCTCCAAAGAGACTCTCCCTCCCCTCTCTAACCCAAACCTCCATAACTATTTGCCCAATAAAGCTCTGTTAAACAGCCTTATCTTCCTAATGCCCAATCCACCTGCTTCTTTTGGCCTGCACACTTTTCCCCACCTTACTTTGTGAATTTTCTTAGGACCCTCCACCCCCTCCCATGGGAAATCCCTCTGCAGTTTTTCAGTTTTCTCAGCCATCTTTACTGGAACTTTCTCAGCCTTACTCAAGGGAACAACAACTACTACAGTTGTCAAGTTAAAACTCAAAACAAGCTGTGGCTTTGACATTTCAATCAATTAGTGTTTCATATTCAATATGGTGCCAGGACCTAAGAGTCAAACAGATTTCTGCAGTACTTGTCAATATTATCATGGCATTGTCATAAATCGCTTAGCCATTGAAAACGGTCTTATTGCGCACTAGTAGAGTGTATAAAATTATCTCAGCATTAGAATAAGTTCTTACCCTATTTCTCAAACAAAATGTCTCTTGGTAGCATTGAATTTGAATGAATCAACAATTTCCAATTCAGACATTTTTTTATATGAACTCTAAGATCTCAGTCCTCATTCTTGCCTACCACCATAATCTATGTTCCTCCTGGCAGACCATACAAATGCATGAATTCTTGGATTTGGCCTACCAAAGTGGTACTGAACAATTTGAACGGTCTAGGTGGATTAATTATTATCAGCATTAATTGCTATGAACATCTTAGTCTATCTTCATGGAGATATTTTCCACCGAACACATTAGTACAACCGAATCACTTGAATTGCTATATGTTAGAGCAAATAAAGTCTTACTATACACGAATTTTATCAACTAATATTAAATTCGATTCTTCATTAAACAAATTAAATCCATTTTAGAATCCCCTGTTATGTTTTGCAGACTGCAGAAAGAAAATGCAACTAATAGACTGCAGAGAGAAGCCCATGAATATGAAGTCAAAAATGGGAAACCAACTAAAACCTACCTACCAGGTTTCCTTACGCGGATTCAGTTATTTGGTATTCAAACACCACATCTTTCAAAGAGAGCTTCTAGTAAGCTCCAATGAAGGTCTCCAATTTCTGCAGGGTACGCAGTAACATCTACATCAGTAAGTCTGTGGCTGCGTGAAGAAGAAGAAGAAGAAGAAAACCTCTTCTCTGTGTTGCAGGCTGCATAGAAGAACAAGAAGAGGAGGTTGAGCCCGTGATCGTTCTTGAGACTGTAAAGGGGAAGAATTAGAAGAAGAAAGAGAAAGACTTACCTGATCAATTGCCTTCTCAACTCTCAAGTAGAGACCAAGCCCAAGCAGGCCAAGCTAGCTTCCCCTTTCTCTCCGATCTGTGCTCCCGGACAAGCCCTAAGTCCCCTAAGCAGTTTTCCTTTTTGCCTTTTGCTGCTTAGAATATTATTATCTCGCATTACTAAATTCACCCCAAGATCCAAATCTAACGGTTATTTTGTTTTTGCAGAGCTAACGCTGCCTCTGACAAAAAAGGGTAAGGGTAAAATATAAAAAACTTCCCCCAAGTTTTCTGACAATCGTAAAATCTTCCCCTGTATTTTCACTTTAACAAAAATTCTCCCCTATAATTTTGAAAAGCCATGCATTTATCTCCCTTCTGTCATTGTCCTTATGAAAAGTGCCAACCTAATGCGCTTTTTTTAAAATAAATACCTACTACGGGTCCATGCAATGCAGGTTTTGTTAAGGCTCAGTTTGGAAGGAATACAAATACAAATATATAGAATGCAAAACCATGTATTTTATATTATTTTATATGTATTTATATTTATATTCCTTCCAAAACGAGCCTAAATGAAATTAAAGTATAAAACATTATTGTGACATTGTCAATGAATAAAGTCAGACTTTAACCCAAACAATATTTTGGGTTATTTCCAGTATGATTTCAACCCAAGTTACACTCTCACTATATTTTCCAGGTAGAATGATTGCAATCAAGTTACACCCCTTACTGAGATTGGTCAATTTTCTATGAGCATAACCTTTCTTCCAAAACTTAGTAAGTTGTTTTATTAGTTTTTTTTTATAAGGTAGGAGATACTTATTTAAATTTCATTTAAATGGGTTATAAATTAATAAAATCAATATATTTCATTTAAATGGGTTATTTTTTGTTATTGTTGAATCCTCCCCTAAAGTTTGGTAATTGCAATCACCTCCCCTGAACTTTCTAACATAGTTGTCGATAGACCCCCTTTGGTAGAATTTTCTAAAAAAATGCATTAAAATGTCCAAAATACCTATGCAATTACTTTTAATAGAAATGCTTATTTTTCAAATTTTCTCTTCATGTGAATCACTACCCCAAACCCTTCCAATCTCTAATGCTATGTTTGGTTTGAAGGAAAAGAGAGAGAAAGGAAGGAAAAAGTAGGGAAACATATACAAGGTTTGTGAAGAAGGTTTCCTTACCTTTCCCTACTTTTTCCTTCAAACCAAACACATCTAAGGGTATTTCAATCATCAAACATTTGATAATTTTACTTTAGGGTAAAATTGGCATTAGAATGTGTTCAAATCCATGAAATCAATAGTTGTTGTTAGATTTTTAATGGTAAAATAACAGAAGGGATCTATAGGTCCCTTTATCCCCAAAAGTAAGGGGAGGTTTAAGGGCAAGTCAAAGTTGAGGGTCCTTTTCAGAAAACCCAAGGATGGTTTAAGGGATTTACCCCAAAATAAATTAACTTTAGAATTAGTATCAAATTGAAAAAATTGTTAATTTTATTAGTTTTACTTTGTAAGATAAGTTTGTATGTTTTCAAATGGAATTTAAATGATTAAAATTTATATTAATAATTTTTACATACAATTTGATGATTTTTTATTAACTCTTATTAATTTTTATAGTTTTTAATACTATTAAATGCAACTTAAATTAAAAACATTTTAAAATTAACAAAAATTAAATTTTATTTTAGATTCTTAATAAATTTATTAAGAAAATTCATATTTATTCATAACATTTTGTTAGCTTATATTTTTAACGGAACTTTAATAAAATTAATGGATTTTTTTTTGGAATTTAATTTTGCATATGTTTATTAATTACTTTTTACTAATAATTTTAATTTTATTTTATATTAATATTATTTTGGAATAATAATAAATTGACGTTTTATTATTTTTCTATTAAATACTAATTTTGTTTACTAAAGCTTACTGAACTTTCTTTAATAATATTAATTATTTTTATTAATAAATTTGTTTTTATTAATTATTGGTCGATTAGTTTTTATTAAATGTTAATTTTATTAGTTCTTGTAAGTATATTAATTATGAAGTTAGATTTTTTTTTAAGTACTAATTTTTATTAATAAAAACTTTTATTAAATAAATTGCATTGATTCTAATGGAAATTGATTTTATATGTAATAATGAATTTTTAAACCATAATTTTTTATCTAAGAACCTTAAAATTTTGTTTAATCAACTAAAACATGGAGCATGGATTGAAAAACCGGTTGGATCAAAGAACAAACTGGTCTGTCCAACAAAAACCCATTTACATGGATTGACAACGAGTGAACATGTTTACTTCGTACGTATTCTTTACTCAAATGTACAAACGAGCTATATGCAACCGATTACTTCCAAGTTCCAACCGCACAAACCCAATCAATCGGAAAATGTTCATTCTGAATGAAATCCCGGCAAGTTTTATTGTTGTTCCAATCATTGGTTGGCTTGCAAATGACCGAAGAAAATTGAGAACTGAAAAAAGGGGCATTAAGGGTATGTTTGGTTTGAAGGAAAAGATAGAGAAAGGAAGGGAAAGAAAAGGAAACCTATGTTTGGTTTGTAAAGGTTTCCCTTCCTTTCCCTGCATTTTCCTTATAAGGCTATGTTTGGTTTGAAGGAAAGGAAAGGAAAATTTAGAATGTTCCAAAAGATTTCAGATCTTTCCTTGTTTGGTTTGATCACAAATGAGGAAAAGAAAGGAAAATGGGAGGATTTAAAATCATGAAAATGAGGAAATGGGATCCTTCCATTTCAGCCATAAACCACTTTCCTCAAAAACGAAAGTAAAAGTGAGGGAAAAAATCGAGAGCCTCTCCTTCGATCGAGAGTTTCCTGCTCTAAAGAAACAAAGGTGAATCGCATATAGAGAGTAAATCAATTCACCGAATTCCAACAACTAGAGGTGAAAAGCAGAGGTAAATTTGAATCTAAAACATTCTAAATTTACAATACGTATGTGTATTAGGTTTCAAAAGCAGAGGTGAAAATCTTCTTCTTCTTCTCTAATGATGAATGTATGTGTATTAGGTTTTCCATTTTACAATACGTATTGAGGATTATTAGCATAGGTGGAGTGTGTCATTTTTGTTGCAATTTCAATGGTATGTTTCATGCTTGTCTAATCCTGTGTTGTGTTACCTGTTATGTTTCATGCTTGTATTGCATGCTTTAAATAGCACAGTGGGATTCTATCTAGTCTCATTGTGTTACCTATCTCCTCGTACATTTCTTTAGACATAATTCTCCTATTGTCTATATTCAACCCATAAAAAACGAAGCCAATTTGCAGGGTGTCCAAAAATTAGATGTCGCAATTTGTATTGAAGATTGGTGTTAGGACCYGATTTTTGTTTGGTTCACCACACCTGAATCTCTATTTCACCTGAACCTCCAATCAGACCCTTCTGATCCTTCTGAAATACCAAAAAACCCAACTTTCAGCCTAAAAACCCTCAGATCCACCGTTAAACCTATCTTATACCTATTTGATGGCTCTGATTAACCCCCACTTATGCTTCAACCATTAGATCTTACACATCCATGAGACCCATAACCTCCCAAAACACCTACCCATAAAGTTTCAACCTAGATTCCCCCATTTAACCATCAACCAAACAAATATTCCGTTCCGAAACATCCCATTGACCCAAATTCCTACAATCTTGACACTCTAAGACTGATCAGGCCTCATCATCAGATCCTAGACACCCCCAAATCCCCACTTATAAAATTTTAGCCCCAAACACCTCCATTTACCTTCAATCACACAAAGATTTCATTTTAAGGCTCCAGATTGATCAGGTTACAAATTTACCCAATTAAAGCCCAATTGATTGAATCTAACCCTACCAATCACCTCATACTACCAAAAAATCATACTCTTTGAAATTTCACCCAAAACTACCTTTATTTTCCCCTTTATCACACAAAGATTATATTTCGACCCCCTAGATTAACCGAATCCACCCCTTTCCAAATCTACCCCAATCCAAACCCAATTGGGCCAATTTGACTGCACCAATCCGAAAACCCCACCTTGCTAAATTTTAACCAAAAATACCCTCATTTGCCACTTCATCAAAAAGATTTCATTTTGGCCAATCTCGTTGACCCACACTTGCACAACCCCATTCCACGGTCAGATCCATCTCAACCCTCCATTTTTTACCCAAAATTTCAACCATCCATCCAGAACTCCAGTTTGACCACCCTTTGACCCAATTTGACCATACATTTTTTGAAATTACAAAAATGCCCCTCAGATTTCCCAAAATTATAAAATTGCCCCTGATTCCCATATAAATTCAATCTAAACATTTTCATTGGCCCTAATAAAAAAAATAATCTGAATCCACTATTCACTCTTCCCTCCATTCGAACAAAGAACAGAGGAGGCGGTAGCTCGGCGAAAGAACTCTCCCTTCGCCGGTCTCTCTCTCTCGTATCTCCATCTCTCCTTCTCCTCCTCCTCCTCCTCTTCTTCTTCTTCTTCTTCTTCTTCTTCTTCTTCTTCTTTCCTTTCTCTATGCCATTTCCGCCACTACAACTAATTGCAGCGGCGGATTCGAACTCAGCAGCCATCTCCTCTCCTACTTCTCACCGCCGATCTCTCTTCCTTCTTTTTATTCTTCTCTTCCCTCCATTTTCCCTTTTATTCTAGTTTTCGTCACTGCCCCCGCAAGCGGCAGATCTCATCCTTGTACAAACCGGAAGCGGCGGCGACCCACTACTGACCTCTCTCCGCTCTTTTTTCTGTGTGAAGTAAAACCTGTATAGCAGTAGCAGCGGCAGAGCACTAGTCATCGGGGTCATCCCCATCTTATACCAGATTCGGCGATAGACCGCAACCTCCCCTGTTCTCCATATTCACAACCACTTGAATAACTTGGAACATAGCAACCATCATCAATCGTATTCTTTTCGGTTTCAGGAGATCATACCCAAACCACCTCTTTGGCTCGCCAGACTTTAGTATCGTTCTCCATCAAAGAAAAAGGTTAGACGTGCGTCTCAGATCCCCTATCCCAATAACCGTGTTYAGGCCAACATTAGGTGAGATAAGCTTAACATGTGTTATTTTCTTGCTAATTTGGCTTCTGTACATATTATGTTTCC